GTGGTTCAATGCTCAGCTTTCAAAGCAACATTTTGAAAGTGGCACTTTTAAATTTTGAGACTGGATCTCAGTGTAACAACAGGAGATTTCTTTTGGTGAGTTCATTATTGGGGAAGAAAGGGTTAACCCTTCCTGAATAGTAAAACCTCTTCCTAAACAGTGCAATCAGGCTTCCCAATCTTTAGTCTGGTACTCAGACCACCATTTAGATCCTAGCTGAGAAAATGACCAATTAGTATGCTACACTGTTAAATATTTACTATTTCACTAAATGTATCCAGATGATGACAATTTGCTAAATCTTCTGCATCCCAATTCCCCCCCCCCCATTTTCCAAACTTTTAGAACCCTTTCCAAATCACTCCGGTATCCCCAATTCCTGAACAACTATCTATTTTCACTGCAAGAAAATATACCAGATCTCAACTTCAACATACCTTTGAGTAATGCTTCTGCCAATTTTATTATTTCTTGACCTCTCTGGGTAGATATTAAGCAATGTGCTCAGCTGCTGTTTGATCATTATTTTTAAATTGCTCTACAATAAACCAATTTCTTCTTTCTCCAAATATTTCCTGTGTAATTCTGTTCAAGACTTGAATCTGTCCAATACTCCTTATGACTTAGAATCTGCCAGTTTGTAAGCCAACGTGAAACAATATAGCATAGCTTTATGACACGCATGTTGTTGCCAGGTGCAAAGTAACAGAGCAAAGAAAAATTACAACACACAGGACTGAACATAGCAAAAGTGTAGTGGAGCATAATCAAGTATAACTTAAGTGACATTAGGTCTTTACTTGGATAGCGCTAGAAATGGATTAATTTACAAAGAGGCAGTGCTTTGGAGGAAGGAGTTTAAGCTAAAAGCTTTCTGAACACCAAGTAGAGGGCTTGCACTAGAAAAATTTTGACTTTGGAAAATATAAACCATTCCTTTCTAAGATTTTCTTCACAAAGGGAAATTGATATCTTAGTGCACCTCAAACTTTTAAAAGCTTTTTAACACATAGGCAAAAAATCATTGCATGATTATTATGATCATCTACAGAGTGTAACTAGGATACCAAATATTTTCTATTGCCTTCTTATTTTACAAAACACATACCTGTTAGTTAGTCTCTTAAATTTAGTTCATCTTAATGTAATTTGTAAATTACGTAACCATGAGTCAAATTAATGTAGCTGTGTAGGGGGAAAAAACATTGCATACAGACAGTTCCACATCTCAAAAGCATTTATTTAAGTCTGTTTCAAGTGAATATTGTAGTATATGAATGTAGTAGTATATGAAGTTATTGAAGATAAAAATTGGTCTCCGGACTGAACTAAATAAAATAGCACAATATATAATATCACCTCAGCTCTAGGAAACATCTACTTTTTAACCTAGTTAAATAGTTTTCTTCTACATCAGTTGTAGGAATTTCTTCAACACATGGCTTTCACCAATAGTTTGAATATTGCTGTACTAAGCTTGGTGATATTGATATATGTGTAGGAATGTAGAAAAAGTAGGAAAGTCTTGTCATTAAGCAAAATGTATTGTAATGTAAAAAAGAATTCTCCTTTGAAAAAAGAACGGGAAAACTTATGCAAAAAATGCAATTAGGTCAATTTCTGTTTTCAACATCTTCCAGGAAAGCAAATAAAGTTATTATTCATAGCTTTATTTGTATGTGTCAATTATATCAATATTTCCAATGTCAAAATAGTCTATTAAAGATAACTAATACAATACACTTGAGTCAGCTCAGTTCCTGACATATGGAAACAAGCTACTCAACAAACAGACATTATGATGCCAGAAGAACATCACACTCTATTTGCAAAAAGCAAAACAAAACAACAACACAGTTACTAGAGATCCACTGTTGAGAGGAAGCAAGATTAATAAAAACCTTTCCTAAACTGGTGGGGAGGACATCAAACAACTGAAAGACAATATCAATATTCAGGAGAATTTTAATAGGCTGGTAAAAATCAGAAATATGAATTTCAATAGGGACAAATGGAGCATCTTACATCTGGACAGGAAACATCTAAAGCAGTGGTGGCGAACCTACAGCACGGGTGCCAGAAGCGGCACTCAGAACCCTGTCTGTGAGCACCAGCACCATCACCCCAGTCCTAGGCCTTCAGCTGGGTTTTATAAAACCTTTTCGCTTTAGGCCTCCACCGCCATGTACAAAAAAAAAAAGGTTCAATCAATCAGTCAATTTCAACTTCTTGCGGGGAAAAAAAAAGATCTTGCAAAGTTGGAATTGATTGAACTTTTTAGTCTCACCCAGTCTGCCGTTACCACCGCAGCAACACCCAGCCAATGGGCCACACCCACCCGGCACCTGATGATGCATAAGTGGGTTTTGGGTTGCAGTTTGGGCACTCGGTCTCTAAAAGGTTCGCCATCACTGATCTAAGGTATGGATAAAGGATAGGAAGATCATAATGAGTATTAGGAGATTCAAAAAAGATCTGAGTACTTTTGTGGAACACAAGTTGAACTTGAGCCAACAGTATAATACAGCTATAAAAGAAGAAAATGCAGTCTTAGGCTGCATAAAAGTATAATGTCATGACCCAAATAATTAATCATTCCTCTCTATTCTAGACGGTCAGACCATAACTACATTATTGTATTCAATTCTGGGCACCACATCTTAGGAAGGAAATTGACAAAGTGGAACATATCCAAAAGAGAGAAATAAGATGACAAAGAAGCTGGGAAGAAAAAATGATGAAGTTTGAGAAGTTTGCGTATAGAAGAAAAGACTGTGAGGAGACATGATATCTGGCTTCAGATATCCGAAGGGCAGTCAGTCTGTTTAATTGAAAAGAATTCACTTGCCCCCAAGTAGGCTGTTCCATTATTGAACAGTGCTTACTGCTAATACATCCTTCCTACTGTATACTGCAAACCTGTTTTCTTATCATTTAACCCTATATTTTCTTATTTTGTCTTCTTAGCACTATAAATAATTTTGTCTTAGATTTTAATACCAACCGTATATTATAGATCTCCAAGGTTTTTATAACATGTTATCACATGATACTTTATTTTTCCTTCAGTTTTCCTCACCATTCTCACTTCATTATTTTTGCACACCTAGTAGCATATATTATAGATCAATCATGCTCCGACTGAAATTCCTCCTAACTTTTATAATTGTTATAAAAGTGCACTATTATTTAAGGCTGGCTCTTTCATTGTTTCTTCCAGCTAAGTCATATATTATTGTTTTTATGGGTTTTCCATACTTAAATACAAATGTAAGTCTTTGAAAAATTAAAATTTGAAGACAATAGAGTTCAATATGTCTCATTTTTACAATAGCATTATTGAACTTTTAATTTAAAACAAATATTATTAATTATTAGGAACATGAATGTGTGAATGAAGCCATCTGGTTTCCAGCTTTACACCTTCATCTGATTAGACTTTGATCTGAAAAGCCTTAGAAGCACAAAATGTTCAAAATTAACATGTATGAAACATGTATGAAACATGTATGTTAACATGTATGAAAATATTTTGTCAAACCATAAGTATTCAACAGCTGTTACTGCTAAGTCATGAAGATCTTGAGATGGTATTTGCAAAACAGTTCTTTACATTTCAGAAGATGAGGCTGGAAGTTCAGCCTCTTCCCAGATAATTAGTGCTAGCTGGGCCGTTCATTTATCTGAAGGGCTGGGGACATCAGCTTAGTATTCTTGCATTTTATTGTGTTAAGTGGTTATCTCCCTTTTCCTAACAACTACTGGCACAACCACAATATGTTTGCACTTAGGTTCAGTTTTCGGTGTTGTCTGGCTTATAAAACAATAAATTTAACAGGATGAAATTATGTTGATTACCCTAATTTGTATCTACATGTATTTTTAAAACAGCATGCAGATTTTCATTTCCTATTAGACAAGTACAGATGGTGCACCTTTCAGTATTACCGCCCACTCATGTAAAGAAAGGGGCAACATTAACTGGGAAAGAGTAACTGAACCATCTTCAGCCCCTTTTCCTTTCTTCCCACGCTGTTTAGGGGGAGAATGGAAGAAAGGATCTCCAGCAGCAGCACTAGAGAGGACTGTAAAGAAACCAGCCCAGGATATTCAACCAAGTCTAAATTGCTCTGCAAATCAGGCAAGTTCTCCAATGCCAGCAAATGCGAACAAGGTATCAGTGACCCATCCCCTTTTTGGACAATGATGCTTATAAGACTCTTACAGCCTTTTCTGCAGCCTTTCCTTCAACGTGCATCTCTTTTAAGCCAAGGTCTGCTCAGTTGCTCTACAACTGCATCCTCTTCCCTCCACAACAGCTGCACGCCCACATTATTTTTCTTCCCCCACCTTCTCCAGTCCGATGATCTTTAATCGGATTAAAATTGCATATTCCCCACCATATTACTGCCTTTGGCTATGCTATGTTTGGGAAATCCTGGAAGTTCTAGCCTCAGCATATCCGGAGGGCGCCCGGTTGGAGACGGCTGCTCCAAGCAAAATTAGAATTCGCGCCACCCCGTTTCCACTGCTGTCTAGGAATGTGTAGGCATCGGCTTCTGTGGATCGGCGCGTTCTCTGTCTGCCTCGACCGGTGCTCCCCCGCCCGCGCTCCCCTGCACTCTTCTAGGGGAGGGCGCCCCAACCTGCATTGCCCCAAAGGGACAATCGCCCTGCACCACCGGCCCCTCTCTCTTTTGCACGGGGCACGCGGGGATCGGTCAGCCGCACCGTTTTGTCTAGGAAGCTGCTCTGCGTAAAAACACCCTCCGCCTCAGCAGACCGAAGACTGGCCAGCGCCACCGAGCCCAACCATCCCGGCACCCCCAGCCAGTCTCCCACTCTGCATCCCAAGAGCTTGCTCGATCACGGGTTTTATGCCCCCCCAAAAAAGAACGGGGCTTGCGGGGGGTGTCTTCTTCCGCCCGCGCCTGCCCCGGCTCCCCCCTTCCCGGTCCCTTCCTTGTTCGCAGCGCCCCACGAACCCTTCGCCTCCTTACCGTCCCAGCTCTGACTCCAGATCGTAATAATCCGTGAGGGTGTCCCTATTGGAGCCGTCGATCCAAAAATCCGGGCTAGCGGAGCCGGCAGCGGCGCCGGTGGCAGCACCTCCGACCCGGCCCGAGGTAGGGGCAGAGGCGAGCGTACCGGTGGTGCTGGGGGTCACGGAGGCAGAAGGAGGCGACGAAGACGAGGAGGAGGGCATGGTGACTTTGAGCATGCTGCGGTGGAGGTTCAGCGGCAGCGGCGTTGGGGTCCGACTGTTCAGAAGCTGCGAGGAAACGAGAGGACAAAGCGGCTAGCGGCGCGGCGGCTTCTCCGCTGCCACCCCCGCCTCCGGCTCTTCGAGCTGACGAGGGAAGCGGGAGGGGGAGGAAACTCTCGCGGGCTGCCTGAGGAAGCCGAGCTGACAGCCAAACTTCTAGCCGGGCGCAGCGGCAGAAGCAGCCAGCGAGCAAACCTCTCGGGCTGCAGGGAAGGCGCGCTCTCAGTCGGACGCGCGCGCCCGGACACGCGCTCCCTTGTCTCTTCCAAACGCGCCCTGCGCGCACAGACGGCGCGGTACAGTGTGGAATGGGATGGGGGGCGAGCTGAGGAGTCCCCCCCCCAAGGGAAGGCCCGGAGAAATTACCTCCAAGGCCAGGAATGGTCGCAACCATGCCCAGAGAGCAGAAGGACTCCAGAAATCACCTGGCGAGGGCAAGCTGCTATGCGAGGCACGAGGGAGTTTGCTCGCGGACAACTGTGTGCCAAAGGGTTGGACTTTAAAATACCAAATCAGTGGCAGGATTCAGAGGCTGCTTCCGTCTTGGCAAAGCACCTGTTTTTCCTCCCTCGCCGAGGGGGTGTGTGTGTGCGTGCATGTAAGACACAGGCACCAGGAGAGGGAACCCCATTTGTGGTACCTCTATTTCTGCTGGGTCCTAATGCATCCCGTTTTCCTTGCCAGAGAAGAGGAGACAGGACAAAGACCAGCAGTTTGTTTCTAGCTTCTTCTAAACCAGGCTAATCCCGCCTACATGGTCCTTGAATTTTATGGTCCATTTGTGCTACTATTCCTGAACCCTTGTTATTTTTTTCAACAATAAAAGCAATCTGAGAACATCCTTGCTTTCCTTTATGGACTGAGGTTTCCCTATAACACACTGCTAAACATAGTTTAAGTTCTAGCATGGGACATGTTGCTTGGTGCTTGAAATATGACAGGGTGTTTGGAATTCTAGAACTAATTATTGAACCAGCAGTAGACAGAAATATGCTTTAAGAAACAGTGCACTGGAGTTTTAGCACTGTTTAAACTGTGTTAAAGGCATATCTTGTCCACAATTAAATCTGATATCAAATATAAATTCAGTCTTAAGAAGGGTTAGCAGATATCTGAATAGGCAAAAGAGAACATGGGTAATTAGAAAGGAGAATAAATGGGAGGTGGGAAGAAAGACTTATTAGCTGATTAACTTTCTTAGCATCTGTGACAAAATTGTAAAAAAAAAACCCTACTTAGGCCTACATGTATATAAAATTACTTTTTTTTTCAGTCACAATATTTTTCCAACATATCTTTTATTTTTGAAAACTAGAAAGTAGCAATAAAATAGAATTGAGTTCAACATGCTTTTCAAATTTTGCCATAGAAACATAATGAGTCATGTGATCTACACACTAGAGTAATTGGAAGGGGTTGGACTAAACTGATTTCTGGAATCAAGTAATAAATAATGTAAATTGAGATGGTCAAGTCTGTTGGTGGAAAAGGGAAAGAAACAATTTACAGAATTACAATACAACTTTGGATGACCCGTGTTGAAATCCTCCCCCACCAAGATATTCAGAAAACTAGACAAGGCTTGATTTTAAGGCTATGCCTTCTGATGGAGGATATAAGTATAAACAAGAGGACATGTCTTCCTTTTGTCTGGCATCCAGTAAGCCTACCCTGAAGCTTCATAATTATTATGCTTATGCTAATGAAACTTATTTACAAACATTAATTGGCTGTATCCACTCTACATTCCAGGTAAAAAAAATAAAATAAACAAAATGACTTCATGCTCTACAAGGACCATTGGATTATTTTGGCATAAGACCATTTTGCATTATAGTTATCAAATACATTCATGTTTTCCTGAGGTTGGATATAATCTCTCACTGGGGCACATTCACACACAAAAGGGTTAATAGTGAAGTCAAAACAATAACAGAAACATTAATGCCTTTATCAATTCAACATAAAGCTTTAAGACATGCTGAACCAATTGAAAATTTACATTATCAGTAGCTAATAGCCATCATAGAATTAATTCATAAAATTCATTAATACCTGCTGTAGGCAGGAAACTAATCTCAATTCAAATGTTTGTGGATGAAATAAAACTTTTTGATGAGTGGACGTCCCACGTATTGTTTAGGGAATACATTTTAAATTAGAGTATTTCCCTATGTATTTAAGAGAAAGCTCAGACACTAACTTTTGTTGGAACTAGGGATACAGTTGAACTACTGTATATCAGAACATGATAAAATCCTGAATTTGTTACATTCAGGGCAACTCAGACTTATTCTAAATGAAGGCCAAATCTTACGGGTTATTTGCCTTTAGTTCATCACCAGGCACTCCTGCTGCTGAGCTCTGTTGAAACTGAGATTATGGACACAATAATGCAATGCTAGAAATGAATGCAATGTAATGTGGCTTCCATTACAGATGTCAACAACATTGTGCTTTGCTGAGAGCTGCCGGCAACAGATTTGGGTTGGAAAAAATGGACAAAATATACGAGGGTGGAAATATCTTCTGGGTAAATTACATTCTTAATAGAGTAGCAGTAGGCAATGTGGTGTCATTATTGCTTCCTCCTGGTCTGCTAGCTCTCTGATTTTAACTCTTTAAAGTTCAAAAGATTAAATAAAGAAAGGGCATGCTTCCCATTTCCAAATTATTCCGAGTCATGTTTTAGGATCATCAAATCCCTGCAGATAATCTTAAAAATGGAGGCACTTGGTTACAGCCTTGTATTTTGGAAATGTGCCTAACTGCTTGGGGATGGGGGCGATACTAGCAAAAACCTGGAATAGGAAAGAAAAACTACCACTGTTTGTAGTAGCAGCCACTTTGGAAATAGGCAGACCTTCTGCCAAAGGGCTAATTTTGTCTAAGCACGCACAATATGCCCTCAACATTTGCAGTATGCATGTTGATCTAAAGAGTCCTTATGGTAGAACGAGACTTGGGATGAAGGACAGACTGTATTGAATAAATATGGGCCCAATCCAAATTTAATTTAAATAAACTCATTTTGAGGAAACCTAGGAAAGGTCATGTATGGATAAATTAAAAGTGTTTGTTATATTTTGCTATATTTATAATAATGTTCCCATTCCTTCCCAAGAGTGGGGTGTTTGTTTCTCAGGAGATTACCTCTTTATTTTTTCATGACTTTCCTTGTTGTCCCAGTTACTGCTTCTTTCTGCTAGATGTTGAACTTTTTTGTCTTCCTGTTGCTAGGAGATGTATTATTACCTCTTTCCTATGACATGAAAGAGAAATATTAAATAACTAACCACCAACTATTTTAATTAGTTAAAACAATTCTACTTTTAATATAAATTCTTTTTTAAAAGTGTGTTCAGATGGGAAATAATTAGGAACAATTACATGTAAGTATTATACTTAACTGAATAGTTCTGAGTAAAAGTAAATATTTCTTTGAGCACAGCTTGTCTTCTGGTGTTTTCATGGATACATCCATATATGATTTTCGAGGGGCTATAATATAAAAGTGATGCATTGCTTCATTTTAAAAAGCTGGGATTTTCTTCAGGAACTCTTTCTAAGTACTAAACAGACCCAAGTGTACTTAGTTTCCATATTCAGTCAAGGACCAGGTTAACCAGATATTGCCAAGTTAGAACTAATAGCAATACTATATTTTGTTGTATTGTTTTTATTCTTTATTTTATTGTGTCCTCTTTTGCTTGAATTTATAGTCTCTGTTATTATGCTAAGACAAATTCTACTTCTGATTGACATTACTTTGAATCTATTTTCTAATTAATTGTTTGTTTCTTAAATCTGAATCTGATCATATTATCCAAATTGTAACCCAGAACATAAACTTAGACTGGGATTCAAGAAAACTATTCTTGTTCACGAACAGGCAAAATTCACTTATGGTTGCCATACTGCAACTTGCAAAAGTGATGAAGAAGACTGGGTTTTTTTTGTTTAAAAGTTGTATTCTTTCCATTAGGGCAGACATGTCAAACTTGCGATGTCACGTGATGTCATGCTACGTATCGGAGCTTTTTCCCCATTGCTGGCAATGGGGTGGGTGCGGTTTCATTGTGATGCGTCTGGCCCGCGGGCTGGCAGTTTGACACCTCTGCATTAGGGGAACCTAAGTAAAGAAACTACAGAGAAAACATCAGTTAAATGCAAATGTTTCATAGATTCAGAGGTTCAGTGAATGACATATCAGAAGTGTTGTTCTGTTGAGGCATTCCAGTTAGTAATAAATCCTGTTTGCTGCAGTGTTTTTGTTGTGTATTTATGTATTCCTCATATTGCAACGAGATAGAATAGGCTTAAGTGGGACTGTTCACACTTTTAAAATGATTTGGAATAATTGCTTCATGTCATTTGTGAGCATTGCCTACAGCCCTGAGCCAATATAGCAAATAATAGATAGGAACTGTGTTTACATAATGTCCAAAGCATTTCTTTCAAATCATTTTCAGAGATTGCACAGTTCTCCTATTTAGAGCCACTGATATTTCTTCAGTTCTGAAACAGGGAAACAGGTTGGAAGGGTCTATACAGAGGGTAAATCACTGTGAAAAAAGATCCTTAAAAGTAGGAAAATAATATAAAGTTATGTGATAGTCTTTTTATTCTGAAATATTGTGAGAAATTTTCATGACTAACAATGTTCAAAAACCATAAAAATACACCTTGTTCTGAATATATTAGAAGCAATTGAAAAGAGGCAGAAAAACATTTCAATCACATCAAATCACATCAAAAGAATTTACTCTAAGAAATATACCAATGCAGAAAAAATATTTTTTCCTGTTCACCTCTTACTTAACCAACTCAGGAGACACTCAAACTAATCAACAGAAATGAAACCAATCACTCTATTGTCCATCACTCTTTATTTTATGAGGACTGTTCTTATTTATCATCAAAGAATTGGGTTACAAAACTTAATAAGGAAATCAGATTGGAAATCACTGTCTAATTATGGTTTCCAAATCTTTTTTGTAAAACAAATCACAAATTATGGGTTGCCTTTTCAAAATAGAGAAAAAAGAATGGCTATGTATGTAGGAAGCCAGGAAGCAAGCAAACCGGGGACTTGGACCATTTCCTCATGAGCGATTTATCACATCTTATAGTGTCTTTAAACCGTGAAGATAAATAATTACTATAATAGTGACTGAGGAATACTATACAATGTGATAAATCATTTATGAGGAAATGGCCTTGGTGTGATGTCTATCCTGCTGTTTCCATGACAATGAAATAAGACAAAATGAGAGAAATAGGCAGGGCAAGCAATGTAACTTCTCATACAATTAACAGATTCAAATTTTAAAACAGAAAATCATTTTGTAAAAGGAAAAGAAGATGGCAGGATAAGAAAAACTTTTCAACTTGTTGGCTTGAAGACATTTCATCAATGACTATTTTCTCCAGCCTAAACTTACCATACATGGAATGTAAATATACAAACGGACAACAGATGATAAGAATTTTTTTTATCTCTTTACTGCTATCTAGTAGTCATCTAAATATTTGCAACTATGGTAGACCTACCCAAACTTATAGCCATCCTTTATTTAGGTAAGTTCTTATAGTAAATATCCAGATTTTGAGCATTTTTCTTCTGCTTAACTTTTTCTTATATGATCATCTTCTGAAATGTAACAAACAGTAACAACTCTTAAGGATCAATTTCTCAGAGCAATGAGAAGTTCTAGAAGTGTAGCATTTTCCCAGTTTTGATTTTTTTAGAAGGATTGAGTGTTTATCTCAGCAACTTTAAGATGTATGGACTTGAATTCCCAGACAATTCTGGGAGATGTCCACATATATTAAATTTGCTGAGGTTGAGAAACTCTGATCTAGAAGGTAATCTATAATGGGTTCTAAAGGTTTCTCATCATACCTTCCTTTAACCTTAATGTACACACTTTCCCTAAAAATACAAGTACAAAAATGAACATAAGTGAACAATGAAAATGATACAATGAACTTTTGGGAAAGATGGATTTATTGTAACAATGTAATGAAAATTAAATGTAATGAAAAGTTTCTTCACTTACACTTCTCATGGATTTTGCCTGCACCTCCTGAAGGGAGATACACCTCCTCACAATTTGGGAAACACTGATTAATAGGTATTATCAATTTGCAGATTGAAAGTCAGGCCATCATTTTATTTTAATAAACAATGTATTATGTAGATCTATGTTCTTTGCATGTATTTCAATTGTGGATCCAGTTGCCCTCAATCTTCGTTCATGTGAACACCCAATGATTGTTTTTAGATTATCCAACTCTTGATGTGTCTTAGCAAATAGCATAGTTTTCATTTCATCACATAGAGATTTAATGTTACTATCCAAGTATTTAATAATAAAGTTGGAAGGGACCTTGGAGGTCATCTAATCCAACCCCCTGCTCAGGCAGGAAACCCTATACCATTTCAGACAGTACATTGTCATGCAACGTACAGATATGTTTATGGATAATTGCTATCCCCTCCCCCCAACTATAGCCAAACTCTAAGCATATTTTTTCATGATTTGATTCTATCTCAGAATATAATTTACCAAGATCAAACTACATAAGGTTACACATGAATGGCAATTTTGTCCTAAACAGAAAAGACTGTTCCTTAGAAGTTCCACTCTCAGCCTATGGTGTATCAGAAGTCATAGCGGACTTTTCCAGCTGAATATCAAGAATCTTAGATGTTTTGAGATATCATCCATCAACATAATGTCTTGTCTTGAGATGTCATCCATCAACATAATTCTTCTATGGGGGAGGGATTTTAGAATGACCTCATTTACCCTAAAGGATAAGACTTCCTTTTTTTTCTCTTTTATGAAGCATAATTAAATCTAGACTTTCTTCTTTAAACAATGTCAAGATCAGAAATCTATGTAACAAGTTTAAGAAAAAGCAAAAAGATAAGTCCCACAGTTCAATAAATTAAACAAAGAGAAGAAAGAGAAGTTAGCCACTGGAATCTCCATACCATAAATCCACTTTTGGTAATTGGTTCCACCATCCAATTCTTCTTAATATAGAGAAATGTTTCTTAACAAAGATGATTAGGGGACTGGAGGCTAAAACATATAAGAAACGGTTGCTGGAATTGGGTATATCTTGTTTAATGAAGAGAAGGACAAGGAGTGACATGATAGCAGTTTTCCAATATCTCAGGGGTTGCCACAAAGTAGAGAGAGTCAAGCTATTCTCCAAAGTACCTGAAGGCAAGACAAGAAGCAATGGATGGAAACTAACCAAAGAGAGAAGCAATCTAGAATTTTCCTGACAGTTAGAACAATTAATCAGTGGAACAACCTGCCTCCAGAAGCTATGAATGCTCCAACACTGGAAGTTTTTAAGAAGAGACTGGACAGCCATTTGTCTGAATTGGTATAGGGTTTCCTGCCTGAGCAGGGGGTTAAACTAGATGACCTCCAAGGTCCATTATTATTATTATTATGGATCATCGCACAGCCAGATGTTCAGACTGGATTTGGCATTTTGTCTACCTATCGAGTCATTACCCAGGACCTTGGATAGGCAGATGTGGATGTTTGATGTATTACAGATATCATTGCAGGATGGAATCAGTTCCAATAAGGCCGCCTTTTGCAATTGACTAATGGCAAATTTGTCAATGCCAATGGTGTTCAAGTGGTGCTCCAATTGTTTTGGGATTGCACCCAAGGAGCCTATTACTATTGGTACTACCCTTGCTTGTCTTTGCCACAGTTTTTCTATTTCTATTTGTGTATCTTTTGTATTTTATTAATCTATTCCAGTTCTTTCTCGTCTATTGTGCTGTCTCCAGGCACTGCCACATCCACTATCCAGACTTTTTTGTCTTTCTTATCGACAATTGTTAAATCCAGGGTGTTATGTTGCAGGTGCTTGTCTGTTTGAATTCTGAAATCCCAGAGCAATTTAACTTTATCATTTTCTATGACTTTCTTTATTTTATGATCTCACCAGTTCTTGCTTACAGGCAAATGATATTTCTTGCAGATCTTCCAATGCACCATTGTTGCTACTTTGTCATGCCGCTGCTTGTAGTCAGTTTGTGTGATTTTCTTGCAGCAGCTTACCAGGTAGTCCACTATTTTTTCAGCTTCTTTGCATAGGCGGCACTTACTGTCTGTTGCTGTCTTCTCAATTTTGACTTTGTATGCATTTGTCCTTAAGGCTTGGTCTTGTGCAGCCAGAATTAGTCCCTCGGTCTCTTTCTTCAACTTTCCTGCTCTTAGCCATTGCCCAGTCTTGTTATTATCTGCTTTCCCAGCTATTTTTTTTAATGTACTGGCCATGTAGTGCTTTGTCTTCCCATGCTTCTATTCTGTTCTTCATTTGGTCTCTCCAGTAGTCAGTAAGCCTTCCTATAGAGAAGAGCAACAAAGATGATTAGGGGACTGGAGGCTAAAACATATAAGGAACGGTTGCTAGAATTGGGTATGTCTAGTTTAACGAAGAGAAGGACAAGGGGGGACATGATAGCAGTATTCCAATATCTCAGGGACTGCCATAAAGAAGAGGGAATTAAGCTATTTTCCAAAGCACCTGAAGGCAGGACTAGAAGCAACGGGTGGAAACTAATCAAGGAGAGAAGCAACCTAGAACTAAGGAGAAACTTCCTGACAGTGAGAACAATTAATCAGTGGAACAGCCTGCCTCCAGAAGCAGTAAATGCTCCAACACTGGAAGAGACTGGACAGCCATTTGTCCGAAATGGTGTAGGGTTTCCTGCCTGAGCAGGGGGTTGAACTAGATGACCTTCAAGGTCCCTTCCAACTTTACTACTATTACTATTACTAATTTTCAATGCATCTTCATCATTGTCCTTCAGATATTCTTCCAAAGCCATTTTTTCTTCTTCAACCATCTGATGTACTTGCAGCATTCCATACCCACCTATTTGCCTTGATAGAATATGTCAATGTCACTGCGTGGATGAAGGGCATGATTCATTGTCATTATTTTTCTGGTTTTCCTATCCATTGCTTTTAGTTCTGCTTCAGTCCAGTCCACTATTCCAGCTGTGTATCTAATGACTGGAATTGCCCAGGTGTTGATTGCCTTCATGGTATTTCCTCCATTGAGTTTAGACTTTAAGATCTTCACTCTCTTGATATATTCACCTCTAATCTTCTTCTTGACTTCAGTGTGCTTGATGTTGTCAGATTGAAGGATACCCAAGTATTTGTAGTAATCTTCCTCATCCAGACTCTTAATGTTGTTTTCATGGGGCATCTTGATTCTTTCAGTTTTCACTATTTTTCCTTGTTTGATAGTAAAGTGTAGCACATTTGTCCAAGCCAAACTCCATTGCAATATCTTGCTATATATACGGACAGTGTTGAGTAGCAATTCTATTTTAGATGTTTTTCCATACAGCTATTGTTATTATTATTGTTGTTGTTATTATTTAATATTCTGGAATCTGTTAGATATCCATCAATCTATACTGTTATGAAGATTCATGGTCTTGCTTTCAAGTAGGATATATGTTTGTGACAAAATGACTAATTGGAAATACACTATAAACTTTAAAGCTAGTCATACCCTAAGACTAAAATCCTAGTAGAGCTGTCAAAAGCTGGCTCTCTCTCTCTAAGGTTAGAGCAGAGTGTCTGCCCTTTAAACCTACCAGACTTTTAGTAAAGAAATCCTCCTAATTCTTATCCAACAATTCTGTCCCAATTTCAGAAAGAGCAAAAAGGATCTCTTAAGAATGGAAAGGTGAGAAAAATTAAAAGCCACATGATCCAAAGTTCTCCCATTCTCTGAATCTGTTTCCAAGAGGGAAGACAACATATGCAGTGTAACTAATTTCTCTTTTGTTGTTGCAAATAGGATTCCCTATCATTTCCACTTCAAAATGTGGCCCAGCAAGAAAGTTGTCTATCTTGGAGTTTCTCATCTTCAATTTCTAATTTTTGTTTTTAAATTTCTGCAACATGCATTTTTCTGCATTTAAAAAGAAAAATTGCCATACATCTAGAAACAGTAAGGTGACATATACACTTGTATTCAGTTTGTTTTGGTAGCTGAGGCCTTTCAACCTAGGCTGAACCTGGGGCTGTTTAGGCCTCCTGATGGTGCTCTTTATTGTATGTAGCTAGCATAGCTAATTAGGATACGTAGCTAATATAAGCTACTGTAGCTTAACAGTATTGCAGTATATTTGTAGTTCTAAAACCAGAGCACGTAATGGACTGCTAGAATTTTGAATCTCATACCTATTTAAATGGTTAAATGGTACTATGTCACCAATATAGCTGTTTTATGAGTTTCTTCAGTGCAATGACATGAATATGTTGCCCTATTGGCGAAACATGGGGAAAACGACCTGAGTTTGAGGAATACACATACTGCTCAAAAGATCAGAAGGGAACTTTTAAAATATAAAATTATATATGCATGTGGTTCAAATATTTCTATTCATGCATAACCATGGCAAGTATATCTGGTTTCCATCAGATATATGTTTAAAGACCAAGAGGATTAGTGAAGATTTAAATGTGACGAAAGAATCTGAATGCTGAATAGACAACACCTCTTCTTGGCAATTGCCTCTGCCCTGTGGAACATCCTCCTGAGATCCAGCAGACCCCACCCTCCTGGCCTTCTGTCAGCCCTTTCAGGTTCAGCAGATTAGAAAACCCAAGTTATGAATATTAGTATCATTATTATATCGCTACAGTAACAATCTTGTAAATCTGAATACTCTTCCTCCCCCTCTCCCTTTATATTTGTGAGAATTAGGATGGAAAGTCCGAGACATTTTCTCAAATTTTATTTCTCCCCTAGCCTCAGATTTCTTTTTTCTGGCCACTAGCTTTGTTGCTGCTCTTCCTCTCGTCCCTGAAGGCTATTCTTGCAGCCTACAAAAAAAAGTTTCTGAAAAGGTGTCAAGGCCAATCTTTCCCCACAAACCTTGTGTTAGTGTAAGGCTGGAAGCCAGGGAAACTCTACAAAGTGTTTGGATATGTGGGGATGTGTTGTGTTTAGGATGCCAGGGAGTAAATATGAATAATTTTGCTTGCACTTATTCTATAAAACACTTTAGGGAATGAATTGAACATGTGTACACTTTGTTGGCCTAATTTTTTACAAGAACTACCCCTTACTGAAGGTAAGAGACATTTTTTTTTTAAGATTGGTGCGAATAGGATGGTGCCACAATAGAAACACTTCTTGGCAGATACACTTGGCTAATATAAGCTGCATCAGGGATTTGGGACCCTCTGGTGAACAGAATCGTAACATCCTATCTGAAAAATCTATCTGAATCCCATCTTGTATGGAGATGCTTTTGCAGTGTGCAGAGCATGATTGGGCTCCCAGATTAAGTCATAATTAGTTTGTGGGGAGATAAAATAGCCCCCCTTCAAAACACCAACAAAATTTTAGATTCCAATATATACCCAAGAGGTGCTTATCTGCAACTATAGACAGTACTAGTTTTTCCTCAACAAAGTCTGCTTCCCTGTCAAGGTAAGGTCACAGTCAGAATAAGACCATTCAGAAGTCTTGTCTTCCGGATGCCACCCTCAAGGCTCTGTCCTTGAGGGCAGCACCTTGAAGAGAGGAAGAAATACTTTTCATTGTTAATGTGATAAATGAGCACTTTAAATTTACAAATATGTACTGAATTAAAATCAAGGAATATATACATTTTTGATAAAATTATCACAGCTGTGGTGGTCCATACAAAACCCAAAATTAATAAGACCAACTAAAATGCACAAATGTGTACACCAGTGTTTCTCAACCTTGACAATTTTAAGGCATGTGGACTTCAACTCCCAGAATTCCACAGCCAGCATTGCTGGCTGTGGAATTCTGGGAGTTGAAGTCCACATGCCTTAAAATTGTCAAGGTTGAGAAACACTGGTGTACAGGCTCTGAATTATTCCAAACTATTCAGCAGGAGGACATTTAAAAAATAGGGGATTGAGAAAAAGCAAGAAAGTCTTAAAATTTGGTGAGATTGTTCATCCACAAAGTGAGTGGTTTAAAATCAATTTTAATACAGAGATTGTAGAGTAATATCTTAATAATGGTACAAATGTACTACTGTAGATCTACCTACCATTTTGGGATAAAGAAAATAAGTCTCAAATTTCTGCTGTAATACAATTAGAATTTTGTTATGTGCACTGTCTCTGTATATGTCT